GAGTCCCTGCTTGAAGGCTGTGTCGATGCGCACCGGCCGGCGCTGCTGCGGATGCGTTCCCTGCTGCTCGAAGCCCGCGGGGCGCTGGACGACGCCTTGGCCGCCGTGCGCGAGGCCGTGGCACTCGAGCCCTTGCAGTTGGCGCATCACCGCCTGCTGCTGCGCCAGCTCAAGCGCCGATTCGGGGAGGCCGAAGCCTTGGCCCAGTGGCGGCCCTTGACGGACGCCCACCCTGCGCACGTGGGCCTGCAGAAACTGCTCTACGACGCGCTGCCCGACCAGGCCGAGGCGATCAACCGCCAGCTCGACCTGATGCATGCCTACCACCCCGGACATGCCTGGCTGCAACGGGAGCGCGCCGTTCAGGCGGCCCGCCAGGAGCGCCTGGACGATGCCGTGGCGTTGGCCGAAACCGCGATGGCCCTCGCGCCCGGGCTGGCGGTGAGCCACAACGTGCTCGCGTTCTGCCACGCGTCACGGGGCGGCTACGCCGAGGCCTTGCCGCATCTACAAGCCTGCCTGCGGCTGGACGCGGAGTTCGAGCCGGCCGTGGAGCGCCTGCTCGCCGCTCCCACGCCGCAGCAGGCGCGCGAGGGCGTCGACTTCCTCGCTGCGGAAATGCGCCGTCAGGTGCTGCTGGGTGATGGCTTGCTGACCTTGCAGACCGAGGCGGGGCAGGGCTGGACGGCCGAAGAGGTGCTGGCGCTGCTGCAGGAGCTGGCCGCCCAATGGCCGGGCCTCTGGCAGGGGCCGGTGGCGGTGGCGCGCCAGCTGCAACGGGTGCAGCGCACCGAGGAGGCGCTGACCTTGCTGGCACAGGCCTGCGAGCGCTTTCCGCAGCTGCCGCGCGTGCACCTGGAACATGCGCTCGCGCTGCAGCAGCTCCACCGCCCGCAAGACGCGATGAAGGCCTGTGCGACGGCACTGGCGCTATCCCCGAGCTGGAACCGCGCGGTCAGGCTGCAGGTCGACCTGCTGGGCGACCATGGCCGCGATTGGGGGGAGGCGGTGCGCGTGCTGGAGCGTGCACTCGACGATCGCCATGGCTGGGACGACGCGGACCTGGTCGGGCTGCTCGGCTGGGTCCATGAGCAGCAGCGGCAGGACGAGCCGGCGTGGGAGCACGCCCGGCGCTCCTTGTTGATGGACCCGCGACCGAGCTGGGTCTGGTCCCTGGCCCGGCGCATCTGCGAGCGACGTGAGGACCTCGCGGGCTTCGACGCGCTGATCGCCGACGTGGTCGCGAGCCGCCCGGGCGATGTCGACGCGTGGGCCGTGCAGGCCACTC